ATAGATTGGCATCGAGGTCTCACCTTTTTACTATTGAATCAGTTAAATGTAACTGTCACTTCTATTTTAACATTTTCTTTTCTCGCACTCCCGAGAGTGGAACTACCTTCCGCTTACTTGCTTCCTTGATAACTATAACCTTCAAAAATTGAAATGCAACGTCAATCGCCATCTTCTGTTTTCTTGAACACAGTTCATCTTTTATTTTTTTCACCGCCCCCTCCCCCTATACCCAGTCTTTTCTCTCACTTTCACTCTCTGTGACCCTGCTGCGTATTAGTGGTACACTCGGCTTGCTTGGGGTGAAATCATTAAAAGAGGCTTCTTCTTCCTCCTCCTACTCCTCTCCTTCTTTTCTCATTTCTTCCTCCTCTTACTCTTCTTCTTCTCCCTCTTCCTCTTTTTCTTCTTTTTCCTCCTCCTATTCCTCTCCTTCTTTTCTTCTTCCTCCACCTATTCTTCTTCTTCTTCTTCTTCTTCTCCCTCTTCCTCTTTTACTTCTTCTTCCTTCTCTTTTACTTCTTCTTCTTTCTATTCTTCTTCCTCCTCCTTCTCCTCCTCTTCTTCTCCTTCCTCCTCCTCCTCTTCTACTTCTTCTTTCTATTCTTCTTCCTCCTCCTCTTCTTCTTCTACTTCTTCTTCTTATTATTATTATTATTATTTCTCCTTCTCCTCCTCTTCATTTTATTCTTCCGCTTTTTCTCCTTCCTCCTCCTTTTCTTCTTCTTCTTTTTCTTCTCTTTCCTCCTCCTCCTCTTCTACTACTTGTTTCTATTTTTCTTCATCCTCCTCCTCTTCTTCTACTTCTTATTATTTTCATTTCTCCCCCTCCTCTTCATCTTTTTCTTCTTCCTCCTCCGCCTCTTCTAATTCTTCTTTTTATTTTTATTCTTCCTCCTCCTCCTTTTCTACTTCTTTCTTTTTTGCTTATTTTCTTTCATATTTTCTCTCAAATAAATTTTAGTTTTCTTCTTCTTCTTCTTCTTCTTCTTCTTCTTCTTCTTCTTCTTCTTCTTCTTTATTCCCATGCGTTCCATGTTACTATAAAAGCAGAACATCTCATTAGTAAGTAAGGGAGATCAGGATGCTAATATATGGCTTACTTCGGTTTTTACTTTTTAATGGTTTAGAAAACAGAACTCTTTCTTAAATAAGACAACACAGTTAACTGTCAAGCCGAAGATCCGCGATTACCCACGTAGACAAGATAACCAATACAAATGAAAAAATTTTATTAAATATGGCCGACATTTTTATCGGTACGTGTAACCTAATATACGCAATAATTCTTTTCAATTATTTAGGCCAACAAAACATTAATTATAAAAACTCGGCCTCATTTCAGCCTATCCATCCGTTTGCGAATTGGGGGAAGCTTTTCGACCGAAGCTGTCAACAGAACAGACATTTAGACGACGCGAAATTCCGAGGACATTAACATAGAATATGATTTAATAATTTGTCACTTTTTGTGACAGCTGTGACTTGACTTCTTCAGAGCGTTGGTGATCATGGCTATTCATAATTTCCTATGTTTTGGAGCTCATAATATATTGTGTCCTATTATTCTTCCTAAACTAACTTCCATTTACTCAAGTTCGCTCGGTAGGTTATATGTTCTTTCTTCTATTCTGCTTCCCTTCAGTCTGTCCTGAAAGTATCATATTTTCCAAACCCTCTTTCTTTATTAAGCGCTCTATAATTTCAACTATTTCTTCCGGGTATTAAGTATATGTCCTTTTTTCTTACATTTTCTCTAAAACTTCGTAGTTACTCACAGGTTAGGTCCATGGTATTCTCAGCATACTTCTGTAGAAGGACATTTCTGTAGTTTCAATTCTCTTCAAAATCTTTGAAGAGATTGTTCAGCATTCACTGCCATATATGAGGACTGATATTACGTAACAGTTCAGTACTCTTTTCTTTGTTTCTGTTGCTTCAAGTCTCTTCATCTGTGAAGAGTTTGTTCAGCATTCACTGCCATATAGGAAGACTGATATTACGTAACAGTTCAGTACTCTTTTCTTTGTTTCTGTTGCTTCAAATCTCTTCTTCATCTGTGAGGAGATTGTCCAGCATTCACTGCCATATAGGAAGACTGATATTACGTAACAGTTCAGTACTCTTTTCTTTGTTTCTGTAGTTTCAATTCTCTTCCAAATCTGTGAAGAGTTTGTTCAGCATTCACTGCCATATAGGAAGACTGATATTACGTAACAGTTCAGTACTCTTTTCTTTGTTTCTGTTACTTCAAGTCTCTTCTTCATCTGTGAGGAGATTGTCCAGCATTCACTGCCATATAGGAAGACTGATATTACGTAACAGTTCAGTACTCTTTTCTTTGTTTCTGTTGCTTCAAGTCTCTTCTTCATCTGTGAGGAGATTGTCAATTTGCCATATAGGAAGACTGATATTTAACAGTTCAACTCTTTTTTCTTTGTTTCTGTTTGCTTCAAGTCTCTTCTGTGAAGAGTTTGTCCAGCATTCACTGCCATATAGGACGACTGATGTTACGTAACAGTTCAGTACTCTTTTCTTTGTTTCTGTTGCTTCAAGTCTCTTCTTCATCTATGAGGAGATTGTCCAGCATTCACTGCCATATAGGAAGACTGATATTACGTAACAGTTCAGTACTCTTTTCTTTGTTTCTGTAGTTTCAATTCTCTTCCAAATCTGTGAAGAGTTTGTTCAGCATTCACTGCCATATAGGAAGACTGATATTACGTAACAGTTCAGTACTCTTTTCTTTGTTTCTGTTGCTTCAAATCTCTTCTTCATCTGTGAGGAGATTGTCCAGCATTCACTGCCATATAGGAAGACTGATATTACGTAACAGTTCAGTACTCTTTTCTTTGTTTCTGTTGTTTCAAGTCTCTTCCAAATCTGTGAAGAGTTTGTTCCAGCATTCACTGCCATATAGGAAGACTGATATTACGTAACAGTTCAGTACTCTTTTCTTTGTTTCTGTTGCTTCAAGTCTCTTCTTCATCTGTGAGGAGATTGTCCAGCATTCACTGCCATATAGGAAGACTGATATTACGTAACAGTTCAGTACTCTTTTCTTTGTTTCTGTTGCTTCAAATCTCTTCTTCATCTGTGAGGAGATTGTCCAGCATTCACTGCCATATAGGAGGACTGATATTACGTAACAGTTCAGTACTCTTTTCTTTTGTTTCTGTTGTTTCAAGTTCTCTTCATCTGTGAGGAGATTGTCATCTGTGAGTTCAGAGTTTGTTCAGCATTCACTGCCATATAGGAAGACTGATATTACGTAACAGTTCAGTACTCTTTCTTTGTTTCTGTTGCTTCAAATCTCTTCTTCATCTGTGAGGAGATTGTCCAGCATTCACTGCCATATAGGAAGATTGATATTACGTAACAGTTCAGTACTCTTTTTCTTTGTTTCTGTTGTTTCAATTCTCTTCTTCATCTGTGAGGAGATTGTCCAGCATTCACTGCCATATAGGAAGACTGATATTACGTAACAGTTCAGTACTCTTTTCTTTGTTTCTGTTGCTTCAAGTCTCTTCTTCATCTATGAGAGATTGTCCAGCATTCACTGCCATATAGGAAGATTGATATTACGTAACAGTTCAGTACTCTTTTCTTTGTTTCTGTAGTTTCAATTCTCTTCCAAATCTGTGAAGAGTTTGTTCAGCATTCACTGCCATATAGGAAGACTGATATTACGTAACAGTTCAGTACTCTTTTCTTTGTTTCTGTAGTTTCAATTCTCTTCCAAATCTGTGAAGAGTTTGTTCAGCAATCACTGCCATATAGGAAGACTGATATTACGTAACAGTTCAGTACTCTTTTCTTTGTTTCTGTAGTTTCAATTCTCTTCCAAATCTGTGAAGAGTTTGTTCAGCATTCACTGCCATATAGGAAGACTGATATTACGTAACAGTTCAGTACTCTTTTCTTTGTTTCTGTTGCTTCAAGTCTCTTCTTCATCTGTGAGGAGATTGTCCAGCATTCACTGCCATATAGGAAGACTGATATTATGTAACAGTTCAGTACTCTTTTCTTTGTTTCTGTTACTTCAAGTCTCTTCTTTATCTGTGAAGAGATTGTCCAGCATTCACTGCCATATAGGAGACTGATATTTCGTAACAGTTCAGTACTCTTTTCTTTGTTTCTCTTTTCAACACTTTATCAGAAATCAAGAAAAATAGGCGAAAACCATCCATAATTGATGTGGGCGATCAAGGCACTCCAAACTTCCTGTCCTTTGTAACTTTAAGTAAGCTTTCTTTTTATATCCCTCCTAGTCTATGTTCTGCCATCCACAAGTACGTTGTGTAGGTTACTCCCTACTTTCCTCTGTCCCTCTCTATTTCATCCCAGAAGGCAAGATGTGGCACAAGGCCAGTTTTTAAGGTGGGGCGTTCCGAGCCCGTAGTCTCGATAAAAAATTGCCCGTAGACCTCGTATACGGGGGATTGGCTTTGTCTACCTCTCCAAATTATAATCCAATCGATTAAGCGGATTTTACAGTTCGCCCACGTCGCTATCGAATGTGACTCAAGGGTTAGGGTTACAGGGGGTTTAACGGCAACACTGTGGAAAAATTGCTGATGCCTCCTCGGTACTTTCACTATTGAAGACGTCTCAGGTAAATGAGATGTAGTTTAGATCTGGCACAAGGCTGAAAGTGTGGAGCATCCGGTGAGGATCGATCTCACTAATTGGTCGTAAGTGATCTAGCAAGACAAGCATAACAATACGTCGAAGTACCAAAATGATTTACTAAGCGTAGCTTAGCTGTGGTACATGAACGAAAGATTTGAACACAGAGTGAGGATCGAACTCAGCAATCAGTCATAAATTGATCTAGCAAGACAAGCTTGTTAACCATTACACCAAGTCGATGTGTCAAGAGCAAGTACCCTAAGACTTGCGTCAAATCATCGAAGCATTCCTCCGTTAGTTTGATCTTACCTGAGATAAATAATACATAATAACTAGACTCTGGAATAATACTTACACATTGTCCTTAC